TTATTAAAAATAAATAAATAAACATAATTTGCAAAACAAATTTGCAATATTGAATTTCGTTGCTAGTTAGTTGATCTCATCTGTATATACTTACAAATGTCTAGGTCTGACGTTTTAATTTTGCAGTTTCCAGAATCTTTCAATTAATATTTAAATGCTTTAACGAAACTGTTTAGTATTGAAATTCTCTTCCAAAGGGTGCAGCGACAGGGAAAATGAGAAAGCTTATAAAATGAACAAATGTGCGGCAATGCAGCATTGAGGATGTATGTATGTATGTATGTATGCATGTATGTATTTTTAAAAGGACATGGCATGGCAAGTGCATAATGCAAATACGTACACATGCATATATTTAAATGAAAACTAACGAAATTGCAGATCCGAGAAACCCTGGGAAAGTTAGCCGTATTTTCGGTTACTTCTGTGTGTATGCAGTAGATGCATATGTATGTGCACTGATCGAATAATTCTAATATTAACGTAAATATACTATGGGTGCACCTCCTCGACAGAAAAAGAAAAACACCTAAACCAATTTCTAAGGTTTTCGCAAACGTTTTTCTTTTTAATTTTTATTCCTCAAACAATATAAAGTTTAATTCGTGCTAATAAACTAAAATTTACTATGCCCAAAAACGCATATTTTCTCTTAAACGCGCGTTGAGTGCACTGGGTCCCTCCAAAGTTTGTACATTTTGTCATCAGATGATCTGAGAGAGTAGTGAGTTGCAGCGAAATCAGAACGGTTGGGAAAAGCCATAAAATTATAAAGCCACACAAAAAAATCTTTGCTATGACACGCGGAGGCATGTATGTAGGTGATAATTTCGATGTATTTTTGGGATACCTTAAAATGAATGTAGGGTTCATTTCACGCCATTGCGTCTGACATAACCTCAAAGTGGGGTGACATAGCCTCAAAATGGATTTGCAGCCCCAAAAAGTAGAAAAGCGGTGGCATAAAACTTAGACACCAAGCTGCTTGTCACGCACGCAGAGAGCCAACACCTGACCTCAAAGTTAAACTGATCAACGAGCTGACAAGCGGAGACAGAACGAACGCCGTGCAAGAATAAGTGCATAGTTTTTGTTTGCTGAGTTCGTCACCAAGGTTACAAGCACCCTGCGTGCCAGATGCCTAACTTCTGCGATCTAATAAAACGACTGCTGCCCAAACGCGTCCAATACAGAAAGGCTCTTACTTATTTTATTTTAAATTGTAGCTCGGTTAAAAAGTCGGTAGATTACTATATAAAGACTTGATAGAATTTAAAATCAACTTCTACCTCAAAAACTGAGTTTCTGTGTTTATTAAGAAAACCAGTGGAATGAAGAAACTCGCAACTGAAGAACTTTAGTTTTTATAAGGTTTTAAAATTACTCAATAAAAAGGATAACCTAAGATAGGGCCTTTTTATATTAGGGTAACGGCATGTTGATACTCGTAGGACAAGTCACTTTGGCCAAATACGTAGTTTGGAGCAATGAGGTTATGTAAAAAACTAAGAAATTTACTCCGAATTAGGTGATATAAAATTGGCCACATTACCGTACCGATATTGCAGCGTTATGGGTGGGTTTGTTAGTGTTGATTACTTGTTCAAAATGTGTTTTGTTGTATTTGAAATTTTCACTCAAAGCGCTGCCAAACCAAAAGAGTGTTGCCGCGTGACAAATTTTTGCGAGATAATAAAGAAATCTCTGTATGAAATAACAACTTCAACTTTTCGTAAATTAAAAACTGGACTGGAATCGTAACATCGGTTCACGGATCGAACAAGGTACGAAAGAAAATTACGTGATACGTTGGTCAGTATAAGCTAAATGGGACAAAGTGTACGATCACGTATGTCATAATCCGAAAAATGTATTTTTACGTGACGAGTTGTACGATATCGGATGTGATGATTCGAACCCTGCTTTCAAGAAACGACTTATATGCAACGAAATTTATGAGTTTGAGCCACATTTCGAAGCTGCTTGCATTGTCTCGTCTGACGGGACTCCCGGATGTATTAAGAAACGGAGTTTCGATATTCGAGGCATTTCATTTCCGCGAGCGAAATTTCTTTAGAAGGTCCAATAACCTTTTCATTTTCGTCGTTGATGTGCCAGACAGGGTAAGAGTTCGATTTATTGTGGAACGATTTTCCGTCATCTCTTGTCAAATTTGGTTCGGAGACAAACCGGTTTCGACACTGAAGATGGTACAACGGCGAAACCGGTTTGTATCCAAACAAATTTGACAAGCGATGACGAAAAATGATCGTTCAATAACATTTTCAAATGTTTAAGTAGAATATGTAAAACCGCTGATTAATTTCTGTCTACGTGACGCTTCGATGACGTTTTGATCTGATTTACCCATTAATCTCACTGCAACTCTACGTACTTCCGAAAGAAAAATTCTAGTTAAATTTTCGAAACGACCACTGTGCACACAGAAATAATATTAAAAAAATGTATCTTAAAAGTTAAGTAGAATTCAATAAGAAGTAAAATTTAACTAATAATAGACATGGCCAAACTACATGCAGTTACATAAAATTATGGTAGAGAAAGGCTAAAATCGAGTGCTATACTTATGACAAATTATTTTAATTATGTAAAACAGTGATCTTAAACCCTCAACTCAACTCTATTATTAGCAGCTGTAAGTTAATTCAACATTAAATATACATACTATGTATTTGTTTTCTGTCTTTTTTAAAACATTAATTTTGAATAAAAACCCTTATCTTTGGTACATATTTTTGAAACAAAAATTATTGGATTATTAGTTTTCGATCTATTTTTCTCACCACGCGACTCAAAGGCCTTTGAAATAGTATTTTAGTATTCAGAACAGTGTTTACCTCTGCTTTATCGGCTATCTGTCGTATGCATGTGATCGATAAAGCAGTCGATATGTTTAAAGGGAAACTAAATTTAAGAGGCAGTCGAGACTATTAGGAATGGGAGATACTACTTGCCACATTTGCCTCCTATACCACAATACCCGATTTTCGTCTAATATTTACGTGAATTCTAATAACCTTATTCAAAAAAAATAAAGTAGCTTTAAAAACGGTTTACAAATTGAAAAATTTATGAAAACTTTAGTTTAAAATAATAATATAAAGCTCTTTAAACCTACTTTATTATTTGTGAATAAGGCCATAAATGTTTAGCTGAACAGATTCAGGTAGATAAAAGATGTGTGACCCACACAAATTAAATACAACTTTCATAAAAAAAGTGGGAAGAGAGACAAAGCCAAATGAATTTTGTAGTACATTTCCACTTAAATGAGATCTTAGATTTCGAAGTCCAGGAGGATATTCGATACATATGTATATTTTCATGATTGTGAAATCTTGAATTTCAACCAAATTTTAACAAAAACAAAAATTCTCACATTTAAAAAACGAACAAACTTTCACCTTTCGGCGATCTTCAGAAAGTAGACAATTTTACAGATATTTAAAGGGAATTAAGTAAAAACCAAATTGAGAAAACAAAAAAATTGCAAAATTAATTATAAAATAAAGGCACATTTCTGTGTGGGGAACGAAAATATGCCTTCAGAGTGGAAGGAAAGAAAGAAAAAAGTTAGTAACCTGGTAGATATCAATTAAATCCAACCAAAAAACTATAAAATAGGTATTCTGGACTTCGAAGTCGATATCACAGGTTTCATTGCAGTGGAAGGACATAAGTATCTACTATTAAAATATATGTATGCTCAATTGAGTTTGTTCGGCTCGATTATTTGCAGCAATCAATATTTTTTTTTTTTTTGGGTGAAATATATTTTTTAACATTCTTTATCGGAAAAAGAATCCAGTTTAATATTTTTTTTTAAATCTATGTCACACTCTCATGAAAAGTCGAGGTAATTACGCACATTCTGATACCTTAACTAATTTTCTCCGACAAATAGTTTATTAACTGCAAACAATTAAAAAAAGATACTTCTCCGTGAGTTCAAAATTTCGGGAATTGTTTTTCGAGATTTTCGAATATCATGACGAAATAAAAAAATAGGTGTCTTCTTTTTTTCGATAAAGAATAAAAAAAAAAATATATATTTTACCCAAAAAAAAAAAATATTCAGGTGTAATCATTGTACATAAACGTTAAGAGTTGAAAGTGTTGCTTTTGTTATACATACAATTTTAGAGGTGGGTGGGTGTGTGTGGGCGTGAGTGTGCGCTTTGTTTTGCATGACTGTAATAATTCTTTGACATACATACATACATAGAAAAATTGCAGTTAGCCACTTTAGGAAGAAATTGCCTATAACGGTATGCAACCTGTAAAATGCCAACCGGAAAATCTTTAATTGTACATATGTATGCATTTATGTTATTCAACTTTTGCTAAAGAGGTAATATTATTTAGTACATTTCGCGTATTAACTGCTTGCTTTCCTTTACTCGTTGTTTATGTACTTTTCCTATTGTTATATGTTCATCTATTTATTGTACCCTGCTGTTATTTTTTTCACTAACTTATGGTTTATTTATTTATTGTATGCGTTCTCGATGTACGCCTACGAAAAAGCGATCTTAAAAGCTCTATTCACTATTACCAAGTGAACTTTTACAAATATTGATTTATTTATGTATTTACTTAGATAGTTGGCTGACGCTATAGCTACGTACATCTCTCCTGTCTTCTTACTTTTTTTTGATGCTTCATTTCAATTCAAATTGCTTATTTATTTCTTGAAATTTATTTCATTGTTACGCGGCGATTGGTGGTATGGTGGGTGAGAATATACTTGTACATACCTACTCGTATGTATGAATGTATCGTCCCCTGTAACCCTACATTTCACTGCTCTGGTTACCAAAAGCGTCTCGCAACTCCCTAATTCGATATTTACAATGTACATAGTATTTTGGTATGTAGTACTTTGCTCATAAATCTTGCACTAAATTACTACAAAACGTTTAGTTTCTAAATTACAGTACAACGATAAAAAAAAAAATTACGAAATAAATTATTTGAACATAACGAAAGGGCAAAACATTAATTTTTTTTTAATTGAAAATTAATCTAAATCGAATTATGGGCTGACTTATTTATAAGTATGCATATGCAAGTGTGTAAGTGTGCAAGTTTGTTTTGCTTACTTATTATTGCGCGATTTCAAATTTCGTTGAAAATGCGCTTATTTTAAATTAATTATATCTGTGTTTTTTTCTGGATGTGTGTGGTTGTGTCCGTTGTAATCTTAAACTTATCGATGAGCAAAATTTTAAAACTACAAAGGGACTTAACATTAGGACAAGGACATTTATGCACTCTGCACCGCGGAGCCAATTCCACAGCGCCACGCACAAACATATGCAGCCAGCAATTTCATTGAAAATGGTTTTATATTAAATAGCAACGTGGAGCAATTTTAAGAGGTTTTCGAGGCTCAACGAAATAGTGGCCCAACGCTAGTGACCATACGCGGTAGCCAAACCTAAAAGTTTTTCCACCTCATCAGCCTTACCCTTACCACCACGTTTTACAGTGGTTTCAAATGTACACTTTTTGATCAAAAGTGTATATAATTTTATGTACAAATCGGCTTCAAATATGTATTAAACGAAAAAATTAAAAAAATTGCCGGAAGGGGAAATACATATCATCATTTTCATATTTGCAGTCAATTTATATATAAAATTACGATATAATATGAATAACTTTGAACCAAAAAGTGTAAACTTAAACCCAGTGTAAACAAAATTGATGAAAAATGTCTTTGGGGCTTGACTACCGAAGGAAAAAACACTAACTTTTGGCTATTTTTTCGTTCTCCAAGAAATGTTACGTTGATGGTTGTATGTAAATATGAACGAAGTTAACGGTTCTAGGGTTCCCAAGAAGTGAAGAGATAGAACAAATCAATCAGATATTTTATGCGCGAGAATCGCCAAATTAATTAAATAAGTGACAATCGACCACATGTGTTGCAAATCTACCAACTTTTGGGGTCTAATTAATGAGTTTGTGTTTGTTTTTTTTTAAGTTATACTTAAAAAAATAATGGATAGAAATACTACATATATATATATATATTTTTTTTTGTTTTGAATCCAAAATGTTCGTTTCGAACTGATTTTCACAATACATTTCACATTGTTAATGCAAAGAAACGACGTAGAGCGGTTGGAAATGATAAGCTAATGGAATAAAAAAACAGAGATTGGTCTAGGTATTTGTTAACCTATAAATGAGCAGAAGTAAAATTTGAATATTAATAGTGGTATTTATTCACCACATTGAGCAAGTGGCTTGGCGCTCTGGCAAAAGAGCAGATCATCTCAAGCAACGACAGTTGTCGTCAACAGACTGCCAGGCCACACTAGCTTACTTTGGTGAATACCAATACCAATATAAAGGAGAATAGCTCGAACCTAACCTAATCGGCGATACATAAATGTTTACTGGATAGTTAATTTATTTAACCAAAACAACAAAAAAATAATACACACTTCAAAATAGTGCCACGCTATAAAACTAAAGCAAAAGTTGAAGATTTCTTATGATTCTTATATCACAACATTGGCTGCGCTGAGATACGTAGGCTGCCAGCAAGGATTCTTCAAGCTGAGCAATATCACAATTACCATGCTCAATTCAAAGGGATCACCAGCCAGTGTGGACTACTTTTCAGCTTGTTGCTAACCAAATAATGTACGAAATAAGAATACATACATACATATAAACAAAGGGGAGGTGGCAATTTTTGCCAGTGTCAATGACACACAATTCACATTCACATTTACATTTACAAATGTGCAATTATTGCAGCCTAAAACTATGCTTACAGACAAATTTCGAAAGAGATCACAATTTGGGCGTTCTTCATTACATGCATACGTATGTACGTAGTAGATGTAATTAATTTTGTTTTTTCCAAACTAGGTTGGGGTTAAAAAGTTGTTTTGTTGTTTTTTTTTTGTTTTACCTAAAAATATCAATTTCATTGGCTTAACTTTTTTTATATGCTAAAATTTTAAATTTACGAATTCACAAGTACTTATTTAGCTAAGCTTATCAACAAAGTTTGAGTGGAACTAAGGAGGGGGAGGAGGTCGGTTGGGGGTTGTTTACAACTAATAGGATCACGCTGCGCTGTTAAGTTAGTGTGGTGCATACACTTTCAACAAAAAAAAGGAAATGGAATTATCATTAATATTCACAGGATGTTGGCACATTTGCAACAAAAATCTATGCGGCAATCGCTTTGAAGCATTATTTTTGGAGCTTTAGGATGTACAAAAGCCGATTTCGTAGTCCAATTAATTACACAGCGAAAATTTGACCACTTCAAGGTCAATTTCTCATCTCACTCACTCTTACTGTTTCTTCTAATGGGCGAAAGTGAATACAACAAAGAAACTAAAGAACATATTAAAATGACTGAAAGCATCTTTTCTTCAGTATTAAGTCGTATTTTAATTGAAATTTTTGAATTGGTTAAGCAAGCTGAGTGCGAATTGTTTTATAACACTGTGTAACAATGATAATGAACTTTTCGAGTGACCTAGTACAAGTTGTGGCTCTGCCCGAATAGTTCTCGAAACTATCTTTAACATTTTTCTAGCAGCCTGAATTTCGGAACTTATTCCAAAATAAAGATCTACAACAAATTTAGAAATAATAAATATTTTATTTGTAATGGAACGAGATATCACATACTGAAACTAATGGTGAAGTTATCACATTTTTTAATAAATGTAGAAGGGAAATTAATTTTTATTAGATCTAGGTAAATCCTAGTAGCTGCTAATGACTTCCTCCTATAGTATTTCTCACTCAAATCAATTGACAATTTTTTTTTTGAGAAATAATTAAGTGAGCTGTTTTATATGTTCATATAGGTATTCACATATTCATAAGACATACATTAGGCATATGACTTTTTTAAATAAAATCTATATGCACATAATGGGAGGATGTGCAGTTATGAAAACTAACAAAAATAACGCTTTTCGCTTTGGTCAAAATTGGGTACAAGTTCCCTCATGGAGAAAGGAAGAAATTTATTTACATATACTTGTACTTAAAATAGAACATACATACACATACTATAGTTATATGGAAAATTCCATGTCAACCGAATTATAACTGCGATCAAAAATTGGAATTTTTATATGTNGAGGGAAATTTATTTTTATTAGATCTAGGTAAATCCTATTAGCTGCTAATGACTTCCTCCTATAGTATTTCTCACTCAAATCAATTGACTATTTTTTTTTTTTGACAAATAATTAAGGGGCCTGTTTCATATGTTCATATAGGTATTCACATATTCATATGGCATATACATTAGGCATATGACTTTTTTAAACTAAATATATATGCACATGAGGGGAGGATGAGCAGTTATGAAAACTAACAAAAATAACGCTTTTCGCTTTGGTCAAAATTGGGTACAAGTTCCCTCATGGAGAAAGGAAAAAATTTATTTACATATACTTGTACTGAAAATCGAACATACATATACATACTATAGTTATATGTAAAATCCCATGTCAACCGAATTATAACTGCGATCAAAAATTGGAATTTTTATATGTGGAACTGAAAAATTATATACAGTTAGTCAAAAAATTGGGTATAAGATGAATTTTGTACAATTGCTTATTAAACACGGTCTATATTTTAAAACAATACCGTAAGAAATTTAGTACGAAATTAGAAGAAATATGAAAATTTAGGCAATCCTGAATATACTTTTGATGGGAAAAAATCACCGTCTACTCAATTTTGTGAGTAGCTAAAACGCCCATAGTAAAAGTTTATATGTGTGTACATTTTTTGTTCTAGTAAGATAATGGTAATCGATACAGATATGGAATTAGTACACAACATAATGGAAGTGGTAGCGGTTATTTCGGCATACCTACTTAACTAAATTTTTGTATTTTTGGATTTGGATTATGACACTATTGAAGTAAATGAGGGATATGTATGTATGTAAATGGAAAACTCCTACCGAATGAAAAATAAAATTTAGAGACCAATTTTGATCGCAGTGGAATTTTTTCATTACATACATACACATGTATGAGGCCATGAGAGGCAGAGTAGCCTATCCACAAAAAATGTAAGAAAAGTATAAGAAAGAATGATCTATATATAATAAATACGATATTTACTGAAAAGTTCAATGCACCTAAGTACGTCATGCTAAAAATTATAGTAATAGAAAACTAAAAGAGCATACCACGAGCTTTTACCGTTTTGATTCTGGCTCTCAAGGCCTCATATGTATGTATGTTTCATTTTAATGTTGTACCACATTTCGAAAAAACGTTACTTTTTGGTTTTTGAACACTCTTCGTCCCTTCCTCACAGGTATATTTAATTTAAAAAGACAAATGCCGAATGTACATACATACATATGTATGTATTCATATCAAGTTTGGGGCAAGTCCTCAAAAATCCTTTCCGAAACCATTTTATGTATAAAATTGCTTAACAAATAACTGAGCCAAAAATTGGTTAGTCCAAGTAGTCTTACGAAATTTTTTTATTCCTTCAAGCAGATCTAAGACCATTACTCGGTCGCTTAAAAAGTTCGTTCGATTTTCTTAATTTTGTTACACCGTGTTGTTAAAAACTTTAGTTAGTATAATCATTTTTTTTGTTGTGTTTTTGATCTACCCAGAAGAAGAAAAGCAAACATGAACAGTGAAAATAACCGGCTCTGTCTATTGTAAACGGAACGGGAATCGGCAAGGCTCCCGTTCCAATCCGATTTCAAAGTACGAAATTGCTTGGCTGCATGGGGTGCAAAAAAGTGATGTCCATCTGAGGTGGGTCTCTACATTATAATTACCAATTGAAGGTAAAGATGTTACATTAAAAAAATTACAATCAACGAATAGCTAAACACATTAGTATTTTCTTCATTGCATTTCTCATACTCTACTAATCACTAATTACGGTTCTTCTTAACACACGTTTACTAACAATTGCTCCTTTCTAAATACATATATAGAGTTAGGCAGATAAACTTACTAAGCGCAATTGTTTATTCATTCCTCTTGCAAAAGTAGGTTTATTTATGTTTATTGAAAAACACAGCAATATTTGTTTTAAAATTAAAAGTGAAAACCGAAAGGAATAAGTAACGCTAATCAATAAATTTATACGACAACATGCTACAAAAGTAATTAAATGAAACACAAAAATTGTGATGGTTTCATAGTAGGTAATCAGCTGTTGCAAGTTTTTGCTTTTATACTAACAAAAATATTTGGTAAATTTTCTTTAAAAATTCTATGCATTTTCCATACTTAATAGCTTAACAAGTACAAAGTTTTCATAGATGTGGCGAAATAACTAAAAATTGTAATTAAACATACATAAATTATTTAAGGTTAATTTGCGGTAAGTAAAATGTAAAATATAAAAAAACTCAAACAAAAATCAACAAAATTAATTTAAACATAAAAAAATTTACACATATTGATTTCAGTGATGATAATTGCAGATTTTAGAATTTAACTAAATAATAATTCAAACAAACGTTGAGGGAAATATGCTAAGCTATTTCTAGTTGCCCGGAAACAGTTTGCGTTTCACAGTTACAAGGCTCTTTCGCTGAACGCAAAGTGTTTCCCGCACGGCATTTATTTCACAGTGTGCAAACTAAATTACATCTATATAAAAAAAAACTAAGCTAAATGGACTAATTTTTTCGTTTTCAATAAACGTTTTATGTATGCACGTATATTACTTAGTAGCATTATTTGTAACTAAATAACAATGTCATTAAATATTTTGTGTGTTTATAGTTATTAGTTGTTGTTGTCATTCATTACATATTGAATTATTATTATTTTTTTTTTCAAATATTTCTTTCACCATCAAGTAACGTAACGCACAGAAGAAACAACAAAATTACCGGTACCTAACGTTTTCCGTTACTACTATTACTACAAATAAACCTGCCTTTTTCTAATCTTTTATTTTTATTTTAACAATAGTTTGCTTGGTTAGATTTCCCTTCTCGTATGCAATCCGCTGCTTGCTGCACCGTACATTTACATTTGACGCTTTTCTCATTCTCTCATACTTTCAAAAAATTTTCGTCCTTTGTAGAGTTAATCAGCGTAATTCATTATGTTTATATAATTGAGGAATTGCTCCGAAAACAATTGCATGCAGGCCGTGCCGCCATCAGCCTCCACTACGCCCCTGCCAGCGCCCATGCAGTGGTCCCCATCGGCGGTTGAATTTGAACGAAATCCTTTGTTATTGCTGCCAGCTGGTGCGGCTGTTGTCGGTAGCTGTTTGGTGAGCGCACGGCTCCCTGCTCCGCCGGCGAAGGCTGAGGGCTGGACGTTTGTGCGCCAAATGCTCGAGGCATCTGTGAAGTCTATGGACTCGCCCACATCCACATCAGCATTTGTGTTGCTGGTCATTCGTGATGCAGCTGTTGCTGCTGCGACACTGCTCCTGTCGTTAGTGTTGGTGCGCCAGAGATCGGTGAATAGGTCAGCAGTGGTGCGTGTAGTGTTGTCTGCTGCCGGGTTCGGTATGTCCCAAATATTGCTAATCTTGGCAAACTGTGAGGTGTCCTCGATTGCGGCAGTGGTGGCGGCACAGTTATCGGCTGCGAAGAAGCTCTGTAGCTTGCAATTGGGCCACACGCCGACGTCAATGGCAGTGCTCGAGTTCGAGCCCAATCCAGACGAACAGGTCGACGAAGCGGACGAACAGGTGGAGGATGCGCTGGGCGATGTTGATTGCTGGTTTTTATCGCCCGTATGGACTCCTGAAACACCACCACCGGCACCGGTCCCTCCGGCCTGCATGATTGCTGCATTTATGGCTACACCCGTCTTTGTGGTGTAATAATTATCCCTGAGTGAGTTGTTTGTATTCGGCGATGACACCGACCACAACGGCTCTTTACTGTTGCTGCTGCGATAATCTGGGCGCGTGGATGTGCTGGAAGTGGGGCTTAGTGAAGGCTGCGAGCCGGATCCGCTCGAACAGCCGCTGGTGGATGAGGCGCCACTGGAGATGGACGATGGCGTACAACCCCACAGCGTTGAGATGGCGTCAGTGGTGCCAGTTGGGTTGCCAAACGGTTGGCCTGCGGCTGTGATGCAGCCACCACCGCTGATGAATGAGCTGACTGCTGCGTGCGGCTGGCTCCAGAGCGCATTCAATTTGTTAGCCGTTGGTGCTGAGATGGTTGCGGCGTCCCCTGTTTCGCGCGAGAATGTGCCCGTTGCTGTTGTTGATGCTGCCGGTGTTGTTGTGGTCGTTGCTAAATTATTGCTAGTTAATAAATTACTAATACTGCTACCGACACTACTCTTTGCTAGCAAAGCGCTGGATTCGCCATTGCGACCTATCAACCCTACCACCACCTGATTGTTACTACGTTGGTGTTGGTGTTGCTGTATCTGCGGTTGTTCGAGGCCTGACTTAATCGGGCTTATTTCATTAACGAAACTNTGATTGTTACTACGTTGGTGTTGGTGTTGCTGTATGTGCGGTTGTTCGAGGCCTGACTTAATCGGGCTTATTTCATTAACGAAACTATTCAAATGCAAATTACTTAGGTTACATTGCTCACTTAATTTAAGCGGTAGTGTTGCCAGCATTTGTTGCTGGTGTACCAGCTGTTGCTTTTGCTGCTGCTGGGTCGACGTCTGGGCGGCGGCTACTGTTGTTGTAGCTGCAGCTGCCAATCCAGCTAAGGACATGCGTGCAGCAGCTACTGGCGTAAATGCCGGCACACGTGGCTGTTGATGCGTCTGCGTCTGCGTCTGTTGTTGTTGTTGTGGTTGTTGCTGTTGTTGTTGTGGCTGTCTTACCTGATTTGTGTTGTGTATAACGTTGCTGGCACCGCTGGCGCTGCATTGCTGCTGATATTGTTGAGCGTGCGGATGAGCGCCAATGATGTCAGGATTGATTTGTTGTTGCAGCGGTGCAGAGTAATCAATTGATGGATTGTATAGAATAACTTTCTTCGTTTGCATGATGTTGCTAATGTTATTATTGCTTGTATTGTTCGCCGTTGGAGCGGCAATGCTGGCAGTGTTGGCTGCTGTTGTTGCTTGTGTGGCTGCTGTCGCTGCCGCCAGCATCTCCGTGGACTCCAACGGGGCCTCATGTTATGCGATCGGCTGGTGGCGTACCACGTTGCTTTTGGTGTAGCAGAAGCTCAGCGGTTTGACAAAGTGCGTGTCCTGCGTGGCGCAATACGGACAGGTGACGCAGTGCGAATAGTCACTGTAGAAATTTAGACGCTGCTGCGGATGCAAAAGCAATTTGAAGCAGTTATTGCACTGCAAAGGAGAAACAATACAAACGAGACGGTTTGAAATTAACAAAGCCTTTGGGTAATACAAAAAGTTACCAATTAGGTAACAAGTTAACTACTAACTACTATGTTATTAGAAAAAAAAGTTGGACAAATTCAGTAAAAAAACTGTTATCTCCATCTCACAGCGTTAATGCTATTTGTTCGAATATCACTAATTTTGCTTACCTTTAGACGCTCAGCACAGCACGGCATTGCGGCAAAAATGTCATAAGAATACATGGTGCCGAGGACTAGATTCGATCCATCCCAAATTTCACCGCAGAACCTTTAAAATGAAAATAAATGCAGCGTTATCAAAATGGAACGATGACCAAGTACGAGAACGAGTTATTGAAGAGTTCAATTAAATGAGTAAGTAATTTTATTCCTACGGAAAATGGTGGACTGTCTTTCATACAAATGATAACAAAATATTCTCGAGAACAAGATTTTTGAGGCCATGAGAGCAGAAGTGGCCTGACCCATTATTATTTGTTTCTTTTTGCACTTACCTACTTAAAACAGTCTTAAATGTGATAAATTCTTAAAATAAAAGTGTACAATCAAATTAAGGAATAAGCGACCTTTTCTTTAAAAACTATCACATTTGAAACTAATACTGGAATCTAAGTACAAAAAAAAAATTAATAGACCACTTCTGCTCTCATGGACTTATTTGAAGCTAAACACTTTGAAAATTAATGTAAACAATACTTTCATGGCTCCTCTTAATCACACTAGCGAAATATACAAAAAAAAAATCATTTCTACAATGCCACTTAACCCCTTTGCAGTCAAGACGAATTTATCTCTTAAACCACAGAAAATTATGTAGCCATGTTCACAGCTAAAGGAAGTGTAAATCCTGCGAAAAAAATGCCAAAAATATTCCTTTCTGTTGTCGATTTTCTTCCGAAAAGCATATGGCTATTTATTTTTTATTGCAAGACTTTTAGGGAAATGTCACATAACAGATCGAGTCCTCCATTAGCGGTATTTACGTACCAAAGAGGTAAATGACCACAAATATGCTGCGTTTCAACTCACCTGCAATTAATTACACGATTGGTTGAGTTACCGTCCAAGCAAGCCATGCAAACGCAAGTCAAATACAGTGGTCTTCCTTCATAATTCACCTGGAAAAAAGGTTAAAAAATATAATTATGACCATGTGTTAAATACAAGGAGCAATATCAAATATCAGCACTTGTAGAATATTGCTCGTATCATGGACGTAGTCGGGTAGGGGCAGGGGGTGCTCGAGCCCAATTTTTACCCAACAATTATGTTCAAACATCAAATTTATAAGTTTAATAATATTTATGTATAACATTTAGTTTCCTTTTGTTTTTCAAAAAAGAAAAGGGTTTTAACGAGGCATCGTCTAATCGACGATCATTAGTACTAACGTATGTAAAATATGGTTAGTACTCCAGGGTTAAAATTAAATTACAACGTGACGATTTTTACTGGGAGGGCCCATCGAAGGAATTTGTCACGGGTCTCAGGTGGTATAGTTACGCCACTGCCGTTTACAAAAGTACATACGCTTCATTGTTGATCTTACTGCACGCAAGCATGGAACAGATTAAAATTTTGTGAACTCATCAAAATGGAAAAAACTAATACCACCAAACAGGGAAATCAAAAAGTAAAAAAAAAAACTCAAGCAACGGACGACACGCACGAAAAGTTCACGGCGACGTCCAGAGAGCCGGCGGAATGAATCCGTACAAAACTGCAAAAGAAACTTTCTTCGTCGACTGACATTTCCTGGCACTGGGCGTCCGCCACTGGCTCGAACACCTACACCAGCAGTAATTCCTACAGGCAGATACCTACATATATTAATTTGAAATAATGCAATGCATAAACTTCTTCGTGACCAAATGGTGTAGAGCAGAGACAGTACGCCCACAACGAACGGGCAGCCACAAAGCATCCAGACATTGTTTGTCAGACAACACAAGCAACGCTAGCAACACACGGGCCATAAAGATTTGATGGGAATGACAGTGATTGCAAGAGGTAGCAGCGGTAAAGCCCATCGCTATTGGCGAGCGTTTAGCGGCAGTTTGTGACAGCTCGCTCTAAAAGCAGCCCAGCTGACAAAGAGTTATAAATTCGTTCGCGAACTACGAGTAAATGAGCCAGACAGGCGGCAATAGGCAACCAAAGAGCTGGGTGCTTACATATATTTTTACGATGCCATATGTATACATACTTACATATGTACACAAGTTTGTTTGCGCATAAGCTAAATGGCAAGTTGCACAGAGCGAAGAAGTCACCCGAGAAAGGGTATGAAATTTGGACTTATCGAGTAGGCGTAAGGAAACTTAGCTAAGTCCCGATTCGAAAGGTAAAATGACTGCATCATGCATACTTACACACATACATATGTATGTTTTTCATAAACATGAATTTACATTTTGCCAAATATATAGGCAGATGCTGTTCTCGTCATGCAGCCAAACGATGTTGCATGCAACATCAATATGTGATGTGGTGGTGGCTGTATTTTTGGCCTTTTCTCCTTTTTGCTATGTTTGTTGTTAATAATGCTGCGGTCGCGTAGCCTTTTCTACGCGTTTTTCGTTAACTGGTACTTCGCGATAAAAAAAATTGGGTTGAAAAAGTTTTACTATTCCATTAAATGAGAAACTAATATCAGTAAATGTATCAATTGTAAAGTAAGTGTTTGGGAAGAGACTACATTTTTATACAGCGGAATTTGACTTTACACGTCACACTATGGACTGAAACGAAACCTGTGGTCAGAATAAAGTATCTCCACTTGGAATTAACTTTTTTAATTAAAGATACTAAAAACGTATAGTCCAAAGGGAAACTATGTAAAACACTGAGGGAAATAACACATAATAAAAATGAATATTTTTTATTTGGTTATCGTTTAAAAATGTACGCATTTAAAGATTATACTTTCATACCAAAATTTAGCGCGCACATATTGAGTATACTCTCGAAGGGGGAAAAATAGTAAAATCAAATAAAAACGTGTTCAAAAGTAGTGCATGTATAATGGAAGTATTCAATTCAGATACGCCCATATTAAGATTAAGCATTTTACAGTTCATGGATGCTTTTTCATAATTAAGAAAGTGTACATATGTAGGTATACCAAGCATGCGCAGCGGTGACAATTGTGTTAAGACATAAGAGGCTCAGATTGAGATTTTCAGGGAATTAGATAAACGTTAACGTTAAGGTTGAGCTTACAGTTAAGGTTGAGGTTAAAGGTAAGGTTAAGGTTAGGGTTAACTTTAAAGTTAAGGTTAAGGTTAAAGGTAAAATCAAGGCTAAAAAATAACATTTAGCGATTCTTTAATAGAATTTTACTAATACTTTTTTTTTAAATGAAATATTACTTATTGAAAACTTGTTTTCGTACACTTTGCCCGTGAAATATACATACATTTACATTTAATTAAAAAAGCAGCCAAAACAGTTAGTTCTAAACGGAGATATTTTCTGACCGCTCGGTTTCGTTTCAGCTCACTGTGCGCCGTAGTGACGTCTAAAAATGTAACCAAGAAAACAAAGTAGAAGGTGGCAATCGAACTAATTGTTTTGTGGTTTAATGGTCAACTTAAATCTTTGTATGTATGTACAGTCGAAATATGAAGCCACAAAGGGTAGCTGTTGGTGTTCATATTTAAAACAAAACCAGAGTCATTCACTTTACCTCTTTCAAGCATTTCCGTCATTTTTTGAATATTCTTGATGTTGTAATTATTTTAGAATAACTTAACAAGTGTCTGGGCAAAATTAGTGTAAACTGAAAATATTTCTTCTGTAAGAAGACTAAATCCAGAAGTTCAAGGTGTTTTTAAACACTTTTTATTAATTTCTCTTCGGGGTCTATAACATGTACTCTGCCGCTTAAAACATTCGTGCAATTTTCTTGATTTTTTGCACCGTACTATTTTTTTTGCGTCGGTGTAAAATGAGCCTTATATAATACTAAGAGAAAGTAGAATAAATCTACTATACAATTACATTTAACTAACTTAAATTTATGGTAAGCCACCGGTCGCAGCCTACAACCTCTACTCGATATAAGTATATCAGCCATTCTTTTTTAAGTCGGACGGATTTCGTAACAAAAAAATATATCATGACTCCGATTCGCTTCAAATGGTCTTCACTATGCAATCAACTTCAAAAAGTCCAACTGTTAATAGCTAAGTTAATCTAAGCTAATCTTGACCCGTTTCTTAGCTTTAAAATTACGTTTAGAAGAAGTCTCTACGATCAGCAGAATCCGAGATATAACGATTTGAAGGAGTCCATGATTAGTCAGAATCACGAAAAATAATTCAAATTTTGACAGATCATATCTCCCAAGAAAAAAGCGAAAAAAAAATTCCTCGAACACGTGATAGCTTATTTTATGTATAGAGCCCATAAAAAAAATTTGAAGCCAATCGAAAGTGTGACACCAAATTTGGTGTCCGATATGAAAAAGAATGTCTCACATACATATATATTTATTTATAAGCCAACTTACTTCAATGCAGCCGGTTGAATGTTGTTTCGGACTCAAAAAGAAGGATCCATCCACGAGCGGATAGCGATCGAAAACCAACATCGGCTCCTCGCATAAAATGCATGCGACACGACTCATTTGCGACTGAGCCAAAGAAGATAGAATGAAAAGACGGGTTTCATCGTTGCCATGGTTGCCTTCGTCTTCGATCTGAAAGAAATAATTGTGAATATTATCTATTATATTATAAAGAAACTATGTAAAATTACAAATTAGCTTCAAAAAGGATAAAAAAAAAATGTTTGCAGCGTAAGACCATTTCGAAAATTTCAAATCTCTCAGTATTTTTTTTTGTATTTTACATACAAAGTATTGGTGGACATGCTTATGTTTACGTTTTAAATTATTATGTATGTACGAATAACTCCAACACACAACTGAACTTTGATACAAATTGTTTTGGTCTTTTCTATCCTCACATCAGAGCGTCAAAAGTGCACTCGCTACAGTAGTAATAAAGGACCAAAAGCATACCAGCTTCACTTAAAATCCAATTTACCTAAACCACAATGCCCGTCGAAAATACTGGCAACAATGCAGCATTACAAACAAATGAACTGTAAAGGCGAAACGTGCCGAAACAAAGTGCGCCAATCGCTCTCCTCAAACTAAAGGAGTGCTCCTAAGTCTACTGACTAACACCAAGTAAGTCAACACAGACACAAACACAACACAGACACGAGTGCACACAGTTTTCAACCTGACTAAAGGATACCTGCAAAATATACAATAATAAGGTACCGTTAAGTTATGCTAAATTGAATTCGCATAAGTAGCTGTGTGAATGAACATACGACCAACCAACACATGCACATAACGTACATACATACATTTGTACAATGAGGTCCTTCATCCTTACATTACGCTTAGCCAAGGCTAGAAGCAGTATGCGAATAATGCCAATAACATCGGATTTCCCTAAAGTCTTGAATGAGCTAAAGCTGCAGACAAAGTGAATGAACGTGTTGGGAAATCCTGATTCTTTACATATGTACATATACATATGTACATATGTATGTATGTTCATACTTTAGTATCGCCGGCTTTGGCATAACATACTAGGTATGTATTCCCAAATTGATAATCAATAAGAATAAGACAGTGTAAGTGCATTTTTGTGGTTAATATAGTAATAGAGCAAAACAAGACTGTCACCAGATGGGTTTGCACATTTACAAATATTTAGAAAAGTGTATAGAAAGTTCCGAATATCTTAAAGGAAACATATGCTTCTTCAAGTCGTATAGCCGTATTTATCTCTAAATCTAAATATTGTATGCACACGAGTGCATATTTGTGTATGTTTGTGATTACATATATGTACACAGAAATTTGTACATCAAAGCCATATGTTGAGCGGTTGCAAGGTATTTCTGGCCCAGACTAATGCGTTTATTGACTTGAATAGACGCGCGGCTCCACAATGGAAGTGAAAGCACGAAAACAATATTATTCAAAATATAATAAAACTACATTCAGGTATCCATCAGAGCCGATTACATGAAGATTAGGAACGTTCATTACTCTATTATCGGGTGAGTGAGTATGTGACCGACGCACGTGAATTTCTATATTTCATGATATGAAAAAATTCAACAATTTAAGAGCAAATAAAGTGCTGAATAGGGCTGGGACTATCCGCATATTCGAATATCCGGATATCCATGCGGCTTATCCGTTGACACGAATAAAATCCGGATAGTATGGATATCCGGTTGATATTCGTTTGTGCAATTATTCGGTTATCCGAATTACGAAGATCCGGTTGATATTTGTATTTTCAGATATCCAAAAAAAAAATCAACAAGCTGATCCTCTGTTTTGTATAGTTTTGTTACAATATTAACAAATGGCACTATTCTTGTTATCACTTTTTTAGAAATGCTACAATTTGGTAAAGCATTCACCACGGCCAAAAGTACCATAACAGCTTTCATCATTCCGTCCATGGTATTTTAAAGCCATGAAAAAACTTTCGCGGTCAATTTTGTATACATATATACAGTATCGGTCATATCTATAGCACGCCATTTCAAAGTGATATTGTGTGCCACTTATGTTTATTTATTTATTTTTAAGAATTTTCAATTAAAATACAGTTCTTTCGCTAATAAACCCCTTATAAACCCAAGTTTAACAATTGGTAGAAGGCTTCAAAAAAGTGCAACAAATGTTCACCTAAGTTTCAAACTTTTTTCTCGGAAGTGTTAGAATTTTTTTGAGTACACAGTTTTTTAGCCACTGCAATTTTAGTGCAAATGTGCAAATTTCAAGTGGCTACGAATACCGTTAATTTTTTAGAATTTTTTTGTCGCATTGGCTTCCATATAATGAATAAA